CACGTGGAAGCAGAAAGAGACACTGGGCTGAGTCTTCCTATGCCTGAGGAGCGCATGGCCTGAAAACCGACTGCAACCCCCCAATCCTATCCCCCTGCCCTTCAAGACAAAGGGGGAGGGGGAAGGTAAAGAAACTGGGAACAAAAGCTGAGCCCAGGAAGAAGGGAGGGGTGGGGGGAAGGTGTTTTTACTTTTAGATCTGGTTGTATCTCCCATTGTTCTACTCTGATGTTGGTAGCAAATTAAAATTGTTTTGTTTTTTTCCCTATGATGAGTCTGTCTTTTGCCCGTGACCTTTTTTAAGTGGTGAGAAGCCCTCCCAGTCCTTATTTTGACTAGCCCTTTTTGAGGCATTGTGGTGCTCAGTTACGCACTGGGCCTAAACCACGACACGTGCCTTCCATATTTCTCACACAGACTTCCAAAAAAACTTAACACAATTCCGCACAAAACTTTCTGGTCCTCGTATCTAACCAAATTAAACATTTCATAGATTTTATAAAAACTATAGACACTGCTTTACCTCTTTCACTGAGTTTTGTGGAACAGCAAATGCCTTGGCAGTTGACTTGAAAGGACTGAAATTGCCAACACCATATGTGGGCGCATGAGGAAAAGGATTCCTAAGTTTATTTTCTTTTGCTTGGTTTTTCCACTGTGTAAGCTAAACAAAAATTTAAACAGAAATTTGAGAGCCATTAACTACAATGGGATTATTTTCAGGTATCTTTAGAAAAATGATTAAGCAAAAGCAAATCATAACTACAGCCATAGTTTTGTGCAAATGCATGTTTTCACATGGAAAAGACACTGTTCATGTGCAATTCATACACTCACAAATACTGTTCACACTGTTACATAAATACTAGAATTTAAAAAAAATTAAGACCCTCATATTTGAGGTATTAAGAATCACAATTTGAGTCTTCAACAGATGAAAGTAGTGTTTTCAATCGTAGAATGTGAAAGAGTTAAGAACCACTTTCAGGAGCACAAAAAAATTTCCTGAAACAAAAACCAAAAGATGAATGTGAAAAGTTACACCTGGAAAGGGACCAAAACAACGCTGTTAGGTTGCAACAATATCTCTATCAATACTTGGGACAAATCCTGAAGTTATTTTTATGCCAACTCTCTCTCTCCTCTGGGTATCTATTTTTCCTTAAGTTAAAAACATCCTTTTCACTCTCACTTGGACAGCTCTCGCACTTCTCAAAAAAGGTAAAGGAGAAAAAGAGATCCAATTACAGCATAGTTTACAAAGAGAAAAGTTGTTTCCACTCACTTTCAGGGTATGCTGCACTTCACAAGAGTTGAAATAATAATACAGTTGGAACAGTATTATCAAGGGGTGAAATAAGCACAGAAATTACAGCATCATTTTTTTTAATGCCACTGGAATCCGAGACTCACCTTCGTGGGTGGAGTGACAGGTTTAGGGACAAATGCTTTATAAACATTTGTGCCAGTTCCAAACCTTACTGGCTGTGAATGAAGACTTCCTACTACCGGGAATCCAGATATCTGCAGTTCCTTTGTACTGCCCTTTTTAATGACCAGCATTCTCGGAGACCTAGATTTAGGATTCAAAGGATAGTCTGGGAAAAAAAAGTGTATATATTTATGTATGTATGTGTGCATACAATCTCAAGTTCCTAGTTTATAGGGTACTGGACATCCACATGGTCCAGAGCAAACAGGCATAAATCAGGAACTTAGCCCAGTATTAGTTCCACAAGTAACACACTGTACAAACCTGGATGAACACATGTTCTGTTCTACTTTCTACAATCACAATTTGTAAAATATTTCACTTGGCAATGCACGAATTTTGCTTTTGGAAGGTAAAGATATTCTTCAAAGAAGCAAGCTACACAGTTCTTGTTTGTAAACCTAAAATCCCAATACTAAGAGTTGTTGACAGTTACCTAATCTTCAAATGAGATTATGGTTTTCATATTTCCCTTTAAGGTTACTAAAAGAATAATTATTTATTAACAGTTCATTTTAGAGCGAAATGCCCTGCAGCAAGGCTCTGTAAACATGAGTACTCTAGATCACGGCAATGACCGGTTTCTGTATTTCCTTGCCTAAGATGGGTATAACAGAACATATGAAGCTTACAACATTTCCATATTCAAGAGAGCACTAATTAATAGACATACAGTCAGCTGTCATACTAAGTAACCAACATTCAACAGCTTTAAAGAACATTTAATAAAAACAGTTCTAAAATTTTCAAAAAGTAAAAAACCCTAAACCACTAATTACTCTTTTGCATATGCATTCCAATGCTGCATTAACCTTTCCCAAGATCATCTCCTCTCCCTGCAACCATTTCTACTTCGCAGGTAGAGTCACCATATCCTACATTTAAAAAATAACAAACCCATCTTAAAAGCATAAGTGACTTCAGCTTTGTTTAGCAGGTAGATGTTGCAAAACATTAATAAGAGCTAAGTATACAGTTATCATTAAACTTTATGTAAAGAGTTGCTGCAAAGATTGCAGAACACAAATCACGATAGAATTTTTCCTAATTTGGTTAAGGAAGAATTTAGATATTGTTGCTCTTCTATTGAAAGATAACTGTATTTCCTGACTTTCACATGAAAGCTGTTACACACACAAAACTGGAAAGCAGTCCATTTGTTTAGGGTCCTGCAAAAGTTTTTAGCAACTGGATATTTATATCAAGGGGTTGGCCTATATCTAGTGTTACCTAAGAGTGCAAACCATACTCAGGAAGTATGATAAATAATCAGCAAATTAAAGTACCATTTAAAATGAGCAGCAAGTTTCAGATCTCACTATTAGCAACAGTTTAAGCAGTTATGCTTAGTTATTTCTTTATAAAGAGAAAGGTTCTCATTTTGAGTAAGTTTACTACTTTAAAACATGCTGTCTAAAGCTGCCACCTTCTCAACAATGAAGAACTGACCACATAAAGGCCACAGAACTGTAAAGCAGACCAAATCTTAAATTTTATCAGGGAAATGAGAAAACAAACCCAGACTACAGTTCAGTCCAAGGTCCGCTCTCAAGATTGGCTTTGTTAAAAGATCTGTAAATACAACCAACGGCTTGAGACCTTTGCTCCCAGGAAGTGACCTTAAACCTCTACAAGCTAACCTGCTCCTCCTAGGCTTTCTCTCTAAACTCTTCCAGCAGCTCTATCAGTCAGAGGCATTATTTTACAAAGTGTTCAGCCAGCAATCACAACACTAGTTTAGGGGACCCCACCTCCATCGCACTTCCTCTTCATAATAAAAGCGAAGATAAATTCTTGATATCTTTACCAAAAAAACAGATGTATAATTGTTCTGGGATAGAACACTAGTTGTGACTGCATCTAAAGACCAACAAGACCGATATTCAAATAGAAGTGTTACCTCTCTAACAAAATGCTACTTACATTGTAAGTAATATTGAAGTTTCCTCAATTTTAATCAACATCTTAAGTCTAAAAAAATTCCTATGTTTTAAATAAAACAACTTCAGATCTCTGCTACATTTTTACATTTAAAAACAAAAAAATACTTACCCCACACACCTGCAGCTAAAGATTTATTCTGGTTTGGCTGCCGCTCATATCCAGGGTTCAAAGACGGCTGAAAGAAAGGTTTATTAGTATTTTTTAAAGTAAGTCTTTAACTCTGGCACCAATGAAATAAAGAATCACAAAAACATTGGCAGTGTGACCCCTGCTGACAAAGATTTTTAAATGGAGACAGACTAGACACTTCCCCTGAGACCCAAATAGGTCAATGCTCACTTGTTTCTCTTCTCCAACAAAACGTCCCAGGCAGCAGTCAATACCATTACATGAACTGCCCAGAGAACACAAGAATAGTGATGTATGGTTCTTCAAAGAGGAAGCTCACCCTACCCCTCACATTCTAGAATTTTAGCTTGAAGCACAGGATCTAAAAAGGGCCATTGGCAGAAAATTCACTTTGTTAGTACTTCAGATTTCCAGTAAGGCAATTGTGTAGAATTAAATACATACACATGCCACAGTAAAGTAGAACCCAACTGTAATTTCACTTAAATGTTTAAGTGACAATACTAAACATATAATGATAAAAACTGGCTATTAAGTGAGAAACAAGTTAGTGGACAAATTACTAACACCCTCTTACCTATGGGAAGGGTGATTCCTTAAAAAGATGACCTGAAACTGATGAAATCTCATCAAGTAGTTTGTAACAGACAGAATGCAGAAACAATGAAATCTTCTTTATTATAATTACAATTAACTTACAAAATCCTCAGCCTCAAACTGTCCAGGTACTTCTTCGTCCTCCTTTCTCGCAGTTTCATTGTTTTCATGCCGTCCTTGGCCTCTTCCACAGTGGAAAGTGCTGGAACGAGCACGGGAGCCTCCACCGTAGTATCCTCCACGATTGTTCATATTTTCTGTACCATTTCTGCCTTGTGAACGCCAACCATTCTTCTCTTTTCTACCAAAATATCCTTGATTTTTAAATTTTAAAGAAATGTAATTACAGTCAGTTTCAAAAAAACATTCTACTTCTGCAAAATTCTTAAGAGATGTTAATGAAATAGCTCTGTACTCTGGGATGTGATCGTGTAGTAAATGTAAGATTTCATTCACATAAGTAGCAGGGAAGAATCTTACAGAACAGTGTCATAGAAAGAGAATGGTATTCCATCATAAAGACAAGTCAACCTCCTTTTCTGGCTGCTCATTTATGTCTTGCTGACTAGAATATGAACTCTCATTCTTAGGAAATACACCTGGAATCACACTACCTTAACCCTAGTCATCACGCCCTCTCCCAGATCTGTCTTTCCATTACCTCGATTTTACTACAGAATAAGAATTTAGCACAGGAGTGCTATTATCATCAGACTTTTTTCTAGTCAGAGTGCTACAAAGCAATGATGTAAATGTATTCAAAATGCTCCATGAAAGCTAAATTATACCTCCATTAGGCCATCCAATGTTAGGCTCAAAACCATCTGAAGAGTTTTGTCTTCTGTAATTTGCTTCATAATGATTCCCAGCCCACGAAAAATTTTCAGAGTGCTTCCTAAAGTTCAGGGATGGCTGCAAAGAAGCACAAGTGGTAGACCTGAGACATCGGATTAATAACAAAACTGAGTTATCAGAACCATAACATGTACATTACTCGTGGTATACAGAGTCCATTTTTAAGAGGGCTAAATGCCAGACAACACAGCAGTCCTCAAGCATGCATATGTTCAGAGCTACGTCATCATTGCCCATGGTAGCAAAAGAGCAGCCGTATCTTCTGCTCCAGGACAGTGAAACAGCATCAAGAACCATGCTTGTGACAAGGTAGAAAACTCCAGGTGTATTTTGTTTTGGCAGCAGAGCAGAGCACCAGTGACATGTGTTGCAGCAGAAAAAAAAATTAAAAAAGGTAAGAACGAACGGGAGATCAATTTGGAAGACAGAAAAGAAGTCTGCAATCTTAATTTGGGTAGTCAGAGACTACGCATGTACATACTACAGAAAGGAAGCAGTTGCTTCCACCAGAGGCAGCTGCACCCAAAAAAGGCCCAGCTTATTAAGCCTTGTCATTATAACTTAGTAAGGTAAACGCAAGTAGTTATGAAATACAAATAAAATCTATAGTCAGAAGTGTACAGATTCACAAATACACTTCAAATTATCAGCTTATAAGAAGGCATTGTAGACATTTCTCAGACAAACCTTTAACGTATCAGTAGAAAGTACTTAATAATTTAAAACCTTATATTGAGAACAGCTCTCAAAAGTCAAAATACATCCTGACCAGAACTCATACTTAAGGAGATTAAACCAAAACCAATCACATCCTACAGTAACTGTCTTCTCTATTACTTCCATCTTACCATCTTAACACTATTTCTCTCACAGTTACATCTTAAACTCAAGAATAAATTTTCACTTAGCAGAAGTCATGCTCAGCCTGACTATTGTACACACCTCACACCCTAGCAAGTGCCAGCAGGGGGCTGTGCTACCCAGCACCCCCCATCACAAAGGTGATGCAGGTGAAGCATAGCCCCCATCCCTCCCATCTGCATTACTGTGCACATACATGTTCACTGTACTGCACTCGTACAGGAGATCCAACACATCCCAGGGTCACAATAGCTACAAATGCATAAATGTATAGCTGTGTGGAAGTCTATGTCAGCAAACTACGCTTAATGATTGCAGAGAGGATAAATTCACTGTGCTCAAAGTATCAGTTTCACTGCCTGGAGCTCACTCCCTCTCCCAAATAAGTAACATTCAGGAAAAGGAGTACAGCAGTAATGGTGTGCGTCCAAAAATGAAAGCCTCAAGCTCATTTCAACAGTTATTATCCACTGACATCTAATCAAGCTATATTCATATTTAAAGTACTCCACTGATCAAAGTGAGTAGGGGAGCTGAAAAAAGAAAAAGGCAATCAAAGTTATAGGTTTAACTACTTTGGAAAACATGTTGAAGAAAATTAGTTCCTTCTTGTCACACACTGCTCACTCCCACAAGAGACAGTCACACATAAAAAGATACCCAGGTTCTACTGACGATGACCCAGCAGAGCTTAAGACACTGTTCAAAAATCACTGCGTAAAATTAAAACTCAAGAAAGCAATAGGTATGTTTAAAACACAAAGCATGTATTTCCAAACTGTAAAGAACCCAAACAAAAAGGGGCTTTCCTCGCAATTTGAGGCCTGTGAAATTACTTAATTGATGAACTTGGAGAGAGACAAAAAATATAAAACCACAAACTATCAAAAGATCATATGAGTAGTTAAAAAATGATCATAATGAATCGCAATATTTAAGTTAAAAAATAAATCCTTATAAACGAATTTTGGGTAAGCTGCCAAAAATTTCAGAAAGCTCCAGATCATGTGTTCATTCACACACAACAACCTTCTAATATTGCCTTTGAAGTTTAACTCATTTTTTTGCATGAACTCTGAAGAACAATCACACTTTCACAGGATTTTATACAAAGTGTTTGAGCTGTGCTTGATATAATGAATCTGAAGGTTCTAAACAGTGTGTAAAGATCATGTAGTTTGCATTTTCCCCACATGATGGAGGTATTACTCTATCAAGCCTCTTGTGGCAGAGATGACAGTAAACTTTGAAATCGATAGCAAATCTATTGGCAATTTCTGCAAGTTCAGAAATTACATGTCCAGGTTTAGACAGCAAAGAAAGCAAGCAACGCATTTTTTAATTTTTTTTGAAGTCTAAGTAGTCGTATTGCTTAACATGAAGTAAAAAGCAAGCTTACAAGAAGTGCATTTACCAGCCTGTCTGCAATCTCTCCATGCACATTTTACAGCAAGCCTTTCTGAAACATTTCATCAACTATTCACAACACCTTCCCATTTCCATCTGCTTAACTGCAGTACTGCACTGACAAATACTGTAGTTCCAGACCTGACCAAAAGCTACCAAGCAATGGACACTCAGCTATTCAGGTGGACTTTGCTACCTAACTGACAGGGAGATGGTAAAAAAAACCCTTACCCTTAAGAGGAAATCACCAGCAATAGGTGAGACAGATTTCAGTAAAGATTTTATCTGTATCCATTACACTAAGAAAGCTCATTCACAATTCCAGCTTCCTGGATCAGATTTTTCTAATGCTAGCTTTTACCTATGTAAGGAAAAGCCTCAGATAACTAGGATTGAGGCATGAAACCACATTCCTAAAAATCTAATTCCTGAAAGTCCCTCTTCAGGGAAATAAAGACTGACGGGGAAGAATTCAGTTCCTCCTTCACAAGTTTAACTGTTGTTGATACCATAGCCTCACCTTAGATCTACTCTGCATGAAACACAGATACCTTGCCTTCCTCAATCCATCCTTCCTCTCTGTCCCTCTTATCTGGTCTTCAGCTGCTTTGTTGACACATGGGAAGCAGAAATAAATATTTATTCTAGGAAACGGAGGGGACAGGAAGCCACAACATTTGAGACCTATCTTGTAGAGGAATGGCAAGTCCAGGCTTTTTCTGTAAACTAAGAATTACTACACATAGGATAGAACCAAAAAGACTTTTCAAGTGCTTAATATCCAAACGTCCTGGATATCACAGAATGCCAATCATGCAAGAGGAGGTAATGCAAGGAAATAAGCTGGATTTCAAACAATGAAGCACAAAGACAATAGAGAAGGGATACAACTACAAAGTTTTTGGAAGAGATGAAAGAAAATCTAAGCTCCACAGCAAAGATTCATGAAAGTGAACAGGATCTGTAATGTACACTTGCAATTAAATTTCACACAATTCAGAAGCGAGGTGACAAATACAACCCAAACATCAGATCTATTTGGGTGGTACTGGAGTAGTTCTGGAAATTGCTATATCAATACCTGAAGTATGCAGGTAAAACTGTTCCAGCAGATTCTTGAAATATGTGGTAAAGATGAGCAACTGATGTCATCTACCTGGATTTGTGAAATGCATTTGACACTGTCCCACACAAAGTCCTTTTCTCTAAATTGGAAAAGCATGAACTTGGCAGATGGACCACTTGGTGGATAAGGAACTGGCTAGATGGTCACATTCAAAGAATTGCAGTCAATGGCTCAATGTCCAAGTGGAGGACATGAGTCAGTACTGGGACTGGCACTGCTGAGCATCTTTGTTGGCAACATGGACTGCGAGATTGAGTGCACCATCATTTGCTGATGACATCAAGCTGTGTGGTGCAGTCTACATGCTGGGAGGAAGGGATGCCATCCAGAGAGACTCAGACAGGCCTGAGGTGGGCCCATGCAAATCACATCAAGTTCAACAAGGCCAAGCACAAGGTCCCCCACATGCGTTAGGGCAATCCCAAGCACAAATATAGGTTGGGTGGAGAATGGTTTGAGAACAGCCCTGAGGAGAGGGACTTGGGGATCTTGCTTGATGAAAAGCTTAATATGAGCCAGCAACGTGCACTTGCAGCCCAGGATACAGTTGGCTGTCTGGGCTGCATCAAAAGAAGTGTGGCAAGCAGGTCAAAGGTGTCGTGGTTTAGGGCTAGGCCAGCCACTAAATCCTGGCCAAACACTCTCTATTAACCCCTCTCCCCTTCCCAGAAGGGAAAAGAGAATAAGGGAGAGAGACTTTATGGATTGGAAAATAAAACTAACAGGTTTAATAAAACAGTAATACTAATACTACAGGATAACAATGTAAATAGGAAAATAATGAAATATATACAGATATGTACAAATATATAAAAAAACCAAGATAAAATCCTTCCCCCACCCTCCCCCCAATGATGAATACATCACCAGAGGCTCTGCAGAGCAGGGTACTGGAAAAGTCCCAGACCAAACTCAGCAGCAGGTGGGAACAGGATGCAGGAACACACGGATCAGGATCACAGGCAGACTCCTTAGAATTAAATCTAGCGAGAGGGG